TCTTGGAACCCCTGATTTAAAACCTGCTCTCGGAACCTTTGATCCAAAACCTGCTCTTGGAACCCGTGCTCTGAAACCTGCTCGGAACCCTTGATCCAAAACCTGCTCTTGGAACCCCTGATTTGAAACCTGCTCTCGGAACCTTTGATCCAAAGCCTGCTCTTGGAACCTGATTTGAAACCTGCTCTTGAAACCCTTGATCCAAAACCTGCTCTTGGAACCCGTGATCCAAAACCTGCTCTCGGAACCTCTGATCTGAAACTTGCTCTCAGGGTCAAAGAATTTTCAAAAGTTGTTTTTCTTACAAAATTATAGAGAATCTTTTTCCGAAGGTAATGAAACCAAAGTATGAAATATGATGGAAAACTTACATAATTACGCTCTAGCAAAGTTAGTGGCTTTGTCGATATTTACATATTAGCGACTTTGCCCACTTTGGTGGCTAAAGCTCTCGCTTCAAACACGGAGGGCCCAGGTTTGATTCCCAGTGGAATGGAAACATTTCGACGCGTTTCCTTACACCTGTTCACCTAGCAGCATATACGTACCTGGGTGTTAGTCAACTGGTGTGGGTCGCATCCTGGGGGACAAGATTGAGGACCCCAATGAAAATAAGAAATATAGTCCTCAACGATGCACTGACTTTCTTGGGTTAACCTGGGTGGCTAACCCTCTGGGGTTAAAAATCCAAATAAAATCTTATCTTAATTCCATTGTTCCAGTCTACCAAACTCATAGCTACTTCGCTAGCATTCCTTGTATTCTATTGATTGAGTACAAGAAACCACCCACTTACCAACTTTAACTACCTAATATAGTGATTAGAAATCAATAATTTGGCCAATTTCACACAAAACTAAAAAAAATGCCAATTTCAAAATAGGGTCCAGAATAAACAATGTAGACATTCCTGGCACTAAAACAACATTTACTCTGTTCATTAGTCATGTCACCAGGCATCTCCTATATTATGCTTGCTTTCCATTTTGAATTTTTATTCGCACAAAAAACTAGATTTACTGTTATGCAGACTATTGCAGTATAATAATTGTATAAATAATGTTGGTGCATTTGTAGACATGTATCAGACCAGCCAGTTGGATCCGTACTGAAAGTGACTTAACTTGTGTACACTGGAATATCAGCAAAAATCGAACATTTAAGCTAGTTTCAGCGCAATTTCAAGCTACTTTCAGTCCTGAAACCAATCAAAATCATCTCTATTTCTGTAATATATCTTCCATTGTATCAAATGAGACCAAGAAACCAAGAAAACAACAACAATAAATCTTTCTTTCAACACACCGGCCGTATCTCATCAAGGCAGGGTGGCCCAAAAAGAAAAACAGAAGTTTCTCTTAAATTTAGTAATTTATACGGGAGAAGGGGTTACTAGCCCCTTGTTCCCGGCATTTTAGTCACCTCTTACAACACGCATGGCTTACAGAGGAAGAATTCTGTTCCACTTCCCCATGGAGATAAGAAGAAATAAACAAGAATAAGAATTAGAAAGAAAATAGAAGAAAACCCAGAGGGGTGTGTATATATATGCTTGTACATATATGTGTAGTGTGACCTAAGTGTAAGTAGAAGTAACAAGACGTACCTGAAATCTTGCATGTGTATGAGACAGACAAAAGACACCAGCAATCCTACCATCATGTAAAACAATTACAGGTTTTTGTTGTACACTCACTTGGCAGGACGGTAGTACCTCCCTGGGTGGTTGTTGTCTACCAACCTACTACCACAAGATGGTAGTACCTCCCTGGGTGGTTGTTGTCTACCAACCTACTACCACAGGATGGTAGTACCTCCCTGGGTGGTTGTTGTCTACCAACCTACTACCACAGGATGGTAGTACCTCCCTGGGTGGTTGTTGTCTACCAACCTACTACCACAGGATGGTAGTACCTCCCTGGGTGGTTGTTGTCTACCAACCTACTACCACAGGATGGTAGTACCTCCCTGGGTGGTTGTTGTCTACCAACCTACTACCACAGGATGGTAGTACCTCCCTGGGTGGTTGTTGTCTACCAACCTACTACCACAGGATGGTAGTACCTCCCTGGGTGGTTGTCTACCAACCTACTACCACAGGATGGTAGTACCTCCCTGGGTGGTTGTTGTCTACCAACCTACTACCACAGGATGGTAGTACCTCCCTGGGTGGTTGTTGTCTACCAACCTACTACCACAGGATGGTAGTACCTCCCTGGGTGGTTGTTGTCTACCAACCTACTACCACAGGATGGTAGTACCTCCCTGGGTGGTTGCTGTCTACCAACCTACTACCACAGGATGGTAGTACCTCCCTGGGTGGTTGCTGTCTACCAACCTACTACCACAGGATGGTAGTACCTCCCTGGGTGGTTGTTGTCTACCAACCTACTACCACAGGATGGTAGTACCTCCCTGGGTGGTTGCTGTCTACCAACCTACTACCACAGGATGGTAGTACCTCCCTGGGTGGTTGTTGTCTACCAACCTACTACCACAGGATGGTAGTACCTCCCTGGGTGGTTGTTGTCTACCAACCTACTACCACAGGATGGTAGTACCTCCCTGGGTTGTTGTTGTCTACCAACCTACTACCACAGGATGGTAGTACCTCCCTGGATGGTTGTCTACCAACCTACTACCACAGGATGGTAGTACCTCCCTGGGTGGTTGCTGTCTACCAACCTACTACCACAGGATGGTAGTACCTCCCTGGGTGGTTGTTGTCTACCAACCTACTACCACAGGATGGTAGTACCTCCCTGGGTGGTTGTTGTCTACCAACCTACTACCACAGGATGGTAGTACCTCCCTGGGTGGTTGCTGTCTACCAACCTACTACCACAGGATGGTAGTACCTCCCTGGGTGGTTGTTGTCTACCAACCTACTACCACAGGATGGTAGTACCTCCCTGGGTGGTTGCTGTCTACCAACCTACTACCACAGGATGGTAGTACCTCCCTGGGTGGTTGTTGTCTACCAACCTACTACCACAGGATGGTAGTACCTCCCTGGGCGGTTGTTGTCTACCAACCAACTACCACAGGATGGTAGTACCTCCCTAGGCAGTTGTTGTCTACCAACCTACTACCACAGGATGGTAGTACCTCCCTGGGTGGTTGTTGTCTACCAACCTACTACCACAGGATGATAGTACCTCCCTGGGTGGTTGTTGTCTACCAACCTACTACCACAGGATGGTAGTACCTCCCTGGGTGGTTGTTGTCTACCAACCTACTACCACAGGATGGTAGTACCTCCCTGGGCAGTTGTTGTCTACCAACCTACTACCACAGGATGGTAGTACCTCCCTAGGCAGTTGTTGTCTACCAACCTACTACCTTCTTCTTCTTTCAACATACCAGCCGTATCCCACCGAGGCGGGGTGGCCCAAAAGAAAAAACTAAAGTTTCTCCTTTTAAATTTAGTTATATATACAGGAGAAGGGGTTACTAGCCCCTTGCTCCCGGCATTTTAGTCGCCTCTTACGACACGCATGGCTTACAGAGGAAGAATTCTGTTCCACTTCCCCATGGAGATAAGAGGAAATAAACAAGAACAAGAATTAGAAAGAAAATAGAAGAAAACCCAGAGGGGTGTGTATATATATGCTTGTACATGTATGTGTAGTGTGACCTAAGTGTCAGTAGAAGTAGCAAGACTTACCTGTAATCTTGCATATTTATGAGACAGACAAAAGACACCAGCAATCCTACCATCATGTAAAACAATTACAGACTTTCGTTTTACACTCACTTAGCAGGACGGTAGTACCTCCCTCGGCAGTTGTTGTCTACCAACCTACTACCTAGGAACAACAATAAATACCATATAAAAATACACTGTTAGCTCGTTGTTTTAAACCAAAAACACGGCCACAGTTTTTTCCTCCATTATGCATTGCTTGCTGCAGGAATTTTTTTTGTAAAATGCACACTTACCACATAGACCCAATGTCTCATATATGGGACCAAATTTACCACTCACAGCTTAACCAAGAGCTGAGATCATAGCCTAGAACAATGGGACCCCATCCCGACACAATTAATACATGATAGTGTAAATATGTTATCAGGCTGTTACACCTGCCATCCGACTTACGACCTGCTTGACTTACGACCTGCTCGACTTACGACCTGCTCGACTTACGACTTGCTCGACTTACGACCTGCTCGACTTACGACCGTGTTTTTTATGCCAAATTTCTGGGAAATAAACAACTATTTGTGTTGTACACAGTTTTTATCCTAAACCTTACAGTATAAAATACAGTACTAACAACATAAAAAGTAAAGTAAAACATGAAATACCAAAATAAAACAATAAAATAAAGTCATTACAAAAATGTTTTGTTGATATTCAGTAGTAAAGTTCAACTTACGACCATTTCGACTTACGACCGGTTTCTCAGAACCGAACTCGGTCATAAGTCGGATGGTAGGTGTATATGCATTTGAAAGTGAAAAAAGGTCTATGTTTCACTTTACAGCAGAAACTTTTAATCTAACCTGTTATAAGTGAGGCACCTCCGTTTATAAGTGGGGCCTTCATGTACAGCAGTAGCCTGGAACCTAAGCTGCTGTGCATATAAGCAGGGTCTTCCTGTATCCTAGTCATGATCACCAGTACCCAGACTCACTACTACTGGTATTCCAGTCACCACCAGTACCCAGACTCACCACTAGTGGTATCCCAGTTATCACCAGTACCCAGACTCACCACTACTGGTATTCCAGTCACCACCAGTACCCAGACTCACCACTACTGGTATTCCAGTCACCACCAGTACCCAGACTCACCACTATTGGTATCCCAGTTATCACCAGTACCCAGACTCAACACTACTGGTATTCCAGTCACCACCAGTACCCAGACTCACCACTACTGATATCCCAGTTATCACCAGTACCCAGACTCACCACTTCTGGTATCCCAGTTATCACCAGTACCCAGACTCACCACTTTTGGTATCCCAGTTATCACCAGTACCCAGACTCACCACTGCTGGTATCCCAGATGATAACCCTGGTATCACAGGAAGCGGTGGCCAACATGGCACCATCAGGAGAGAAGGCACAGGACAGTACGTTGTTGTAGTGACCAGAGAGCCGTCGTATTAGGCTGTATGTTCCCATGTTCCACAGTAGTACCTGCAACATACAACAAGAACCTGCAACATACAACTCTTCAAGAACCTGCAACATACATCTCTTCAAGAACCTGAAACACAGATCTTTAAGAACCTGCAACACAGATCTTCAAGAACCTGCAACACAGATCTTCAAGAACCTGCAACACTGATCTTCAAGAACCTGCAACACAGATCTTCAAGAACCTGCAACACAGATCTTCAAGAACCTGCAACACTGATCTTCAAGAACCTGCAACACAGATCTTCAAGAACCTGCAACACAGATCTTCAAGAACCTGCAACACAGATCTTCAAGAACCTGCAACACAGATCTTCAAGAACCTGCAACACAGATCTTCAAGAACCTGCAACACAGATCTTCAAGAACCTGCAACACTGATCTTCAAGAACCTGCAACACTGATCTTCAAGAACCTGCAACACTGATCTTCAAGAACCTGCAACACAGATCTTCAAGAACCTGCAACACAGATCTTCAAGAACCTGCAACACAGATCTTCAAGAACCTGCAACACCTAGGTATTTTCAGTGGAGACTTATTCACAATAAGACACGTGTGCAACACCTAGGTACCATCATAGTGGAGACGTACGTTCCTACAACAACCCAAGTGTTGCATATGTGTTTTATTCAAATACCTCTTCAATCAATTTAAATGCCCAATAATTTCAAATAACTTGCCAGACAAATTAAAAAAAAAATAATTATCTTAATGAATTCACACTTTTTTATATACGTACAGTGGACCCCCGCTTTACAATATTATTTCACTCCAGAAGTATGTTCAGGTGCCAGTACTGACCGAATTTGTTCCCATAAGGAATATTGTGAATTAGATTCGTCCATTTCAGACCCCCAAACATACACGTACAAACGCACTTACATAAATACACTTACGTAATTGGTCGCACTGGGAGCTGATCGTAAAGCGGGGGTCCACTGTATATATAAATCTGAGCCACATATTTATCTTAGTTTCCTTATAATTTATCTCCTTAAATTGTCATTAGCAATTTTTTTTTTTTCAACAAATTGGCCATGTCCCACCAAGGCAGGGCGGACCAAAACGAAAAACAAAAGTTTCTCTATCTAAATTTAGCAGTCTACACAGGAGAAGGGGTTACTAGCCCCTTGCTCCCGGCATTTTAGTTGCCTCTTACAACATGCATGGTTTATGGAGGAAGAATTCTGTTCCACTGGAGATAAGAGGAAATAAACAAGAATAAGAACTAGAAAGAAAATAGAAGAAAACCCAGAGGGGTGTGTGTATATATATGCTTGTACATGTATGTGTAGTGTGACCTAAGTGTTGTAGACAGCCTGTCTGCACAGACAGCCATGCTGTCTGCCAGCTTAGTTCATATTTCGCACACTAAGGTGCTGCCCTCTGGGCCTATCCAAGTCTGTGGGAAGCTGGTCCCACACTCGCTCACTCTCTCTCAGCGGCCTGGCAGCAAGACAGAAGTCCTACTAGCTCTCTCCTCTCATGGGCATGGCCTACCTGGGTCATGGGCACAACACACAAGCCTGTGTACCCACTACGACATTTTCAAATAAACAAAGAAGCCTCCAAAGACGTTTATAATTCACACCCCGCTTTCAGTTCAACAAATAATTTCGTTATAGTGTAAGTAGAAGTAGCAAGACGTACCTGAAATCTTGTATGTTTATGAGACAGAAAAAAAGACACCAACAATCCTACCATCATGTAAAACAATTACAGATTTCCGTTTTACACTCACTTGGCAGGACGGTAGTACCTCCCTGCGTGGTTGCTGTCTACCAACCTACTACCACAGGATGGTAGTACCTCCCTGGGTGGTTGTTGTCTACCAACCTACTACCACAGGATGGTAGTACCTCCCTGGGTGGTTGCTGTCTACCAACCTACTACCACAGGATGGTAGTACCTCCCTGGGTAGTTGTTGTCTACCAACCTACTACCACAGGATGGTAGTACCTCCCTGGGTGGTTGTTGTCTACCAACCTACTACCACAGGATGGTAGTACCTCCCTGGGTGGTTGTTGTCTACCAACCTACTACCACAGGACGGTAGTACCTCCCTGGGTGGTTGCTGTCTACCAACCTACTACCACAGGATGGTAGTACCTCCCTGGGTGGTTGATGTCTACCAACCTACTACCACAGGATGGTAGTACCTCCCTGGGTGGTTGTTGTCTACCAACCTACTACCACAGGATGGTAGTACCTCCCTGGGTGGTTGCTGTCTACCAACCTACTACCACAGGACGGTAGTACCTCCCTGGGTGGTTGCTGTCTACCAACCTACTACCACAGGACGGTAGTACCTCCCTGGGTGGTAGCTGTCTACCAACCTACTACCACAGGATGGTTACCTCCCTGGGTGGTTGTTGTCTACCAACCTACTACCACAGGATGGTAGTACCTCCCTGGGTGGTTGCTGTCTAACAACCTACTACCACAGGATGGTAGTACCTCCCTGGGTGGTTGCTGTCTACCAACCTACTACCACAGGATGGTAGTACCTCCCTGGGTGGTAGCTGTCTACCAACCTACTACCACAGGATGGTAGTACCTCCCTGGGTGGTTGTTGTCTAAGACCTACTACCACAGGATGGTAGTACCTCCTGGGTGGTTGCTGTTACCAACCTACTTACCACAGGATGGTAGTACCTCCCTGGGTGGTTGCTGTCTACCAACCTACTACCACAGGATGGTAGTACCTCCCTGGGTGGTTGTTGTCTACCAACCTACTACCACAGGACGGTAGTACTCCCTGGGTGGTTGTTGTCTACCAACCTACTACCACAGGATGGTAGTACCTCCCTGGGTGGTTGTTGTCTACCAACCTACTACCACAGGATGGTAGTACCTCCCTGGGTGGTTGTTGTCTACCAACCTACTACCACAGGACAGTAGTACCTCCCTGGGTGATTGTTGTCTACCAACCTACTACCACAGGATGGTAGTACCTCCCTGGGTGGTTGTTGTCTACCAACCTACTACCACAGGATGGTAGTACCTCCCTGGGTGGTTGTTGTCTACCAACCTCTACCACAGGATGGTAGTACCTCCTGAGTGGTTGTTGTCTACCAACCTACTACCACAGGATGGTAGTACCTCCCTGGGTGGTTGTTGTCTACCAACCTACTACCACAGGATGGTAGTACCTCCCTGGGTGGTTGCTGTCTACCAACCTACTACCACAGGATGGTAGTACCTCCCTGGGTGGTTGTTGTCTACCAACCTACTACCACAGGACGGTAGTACCTCCCTGGGTGGTTTGTTGTCTACCAACCTACTACCACAGGATGGTAGTACCTCCTGGGTGGTTGCTGTCTACCAACCTACATACCACAGGATGGTAGTACCTCCCTGGGTGGTTGCTGTCTACCAACCTACTACCACAGGATGGTAGTACCTCCCTGGGTGGTTGCTGTCTACCAACCTACTACCACAGGATGGTAGTACCTCCCTGGGTGGTTTGTTGTCTAACCAACCTACTACCACAGGACGGTAGTACCTCCCTGGGTGGTTGTTGTCTACCAACCTACTACCACAGGATGGTAGTACCTCCCGGGTGGTTGCTGTCTACCAACCTACTACCACAGACTGTTAGTACCTCCCTGGGTGGTTGCTGTCTACCAACCTACTACCTCAGGATGGTAGTACCTCCCTGGGTGGTTGTTGTCTACCAACCTACTACCACAGGATGGTAGTACCTCTCTGGGTGGTTGTTGTCTACCAACCTACTACCACAGGATGGTAGTACCTCCCTGGGTGGTTGTTGTCTACCAACCTACTACCACAGGATGGTAGTACCTCCCTGGGTGGTTGCTGTCTACCAACCTACTACCACAGGATGGTAGTACCTCCCTGGGTGGTTGTTGTCTACCAACCTACTACCACAGGATGGTAGTACCTCCCTGGGTGGTTGTTGTCTACCAACCTACTACCACAGGATGGTAGTACCTCCCTGGGTGGTTGCTGTCTACCAACCTACTACCACAGGATAGTAGTACCTCCCTGGGTGGTTGTTGTCTACCAACCTACTACCACAGGATGGTAGTACCTCCCTGGGTGGTTGTTGTCTACCAACCTACTACCACAGGATGGTAGTACCTCCCTGGGTGGTTGTTGTCTACCAACCTACTACCACAGGATAGTAGTACCTCCCTGGGTGGTTGTTGTCTACCAACCTACTACCACAGGATGGTAGTACCTCCCTGGGTGGTTGCTGTCTACACAACCTACTACACAGGATGGTAGTACCTCCCTGGGTGGTTGTTGTCTACCAACCTACTACCACAGGATGGTAGTACCTCCCTGGGTGGTTGTTGTCTACCAACCTATTACCACAGGATGGTAGTACCTCCCTGGGTGGTTGTTGTCTACCAACCTATTACCACAGGATGGTAGTACCTCCCTGGGTGGTTGTTGTCTACCAACCTACTACCACAGGATGGTAGTACCTCCCTGGGTGGTTGTTGTCTACCAACCTACTACCACGGATGGTAGTACCTCCTGGGTGGTTGTTGTCTACCAACCTATTACCACAGGATGGTAGTACCTCCCTGGGTGGTTGTTGTCTACCAACCTACTACCACAGGATGGTAGTACCTCCCTGGGTGGTTGTTGTCTACCAACCTACTACCACAGGATGGTAGTACCTCCCTGGGTGGTTGCTGTCTACCAACCTACTACCACAGGATGGTAGTACCTCCCTGGGTGGTTGCTGTCTACCAACCTACTACCACAGGATTAGCAATTTTATTCTAATAAATTAGTCCCATGATCCTTAACTTCTTTAAATATAATCTTATCTCAAGCCAAAAATTATCTTTTATTCAAATTATCTTGAAGTTATATTTCAATTACTAAATTTTAATCTTTTCATTAAATGTTCAATTTTTACAAACATTTGTACAGTAAACCATCGATATAAGGGACCAGTAAGGGACACCGAGTGTCTGATACATTCAAATATTATTAAAAAATATCGAAAAATGCTTTAAAACACTATACAGTGGACCCCCGGTTAACGATATTTTTTCATTCCAGAAGTATGTTCAGGTGCCAGTACTGACCGAATTTTTTCCCATAAGGAATATTGTGAAGTAGATTAGTCCATTTCAGACCCCCAAACATACACGTACAAACGCACTTACATAAATACACTTACATAATTGGTCGCATTTGGAGGTGATCGTTAAGCGGGGGTCCACTGTATATGGTACACTGCGCATAATTTATTTACATTGCAATACAAAATGTAAATGAGACAGTTGAATGTACAATGCATAAATAACCCCCCTTCCACCCTGCCCCATGCCCCCTGCCCCCTCTCATATACATGTATACACTCGCTACCTTCCCTTCATGCTTGTGTGTGACTAGTTAATGGTTTCAGTCTGACCAAAACATCCTCTGTTTCAGTCACCTGTGTAAGGGTTGTTAGTGCATTGTTCCACTCACGGTATTGTGCTTTTACGTTCTAGTTTAGCCAGTGGATTTTGCCTGTAATTTTAAAAGGACTTTATATCGAGGGTTTACTGTATCACAGTGTTATGAATGAGTGATTGTTAATGTATAAGTGATGGTTACTGTACAGTCATGGGTTGCTTAATGACAGGGATATGTTCTGAGAAATTGTTAGGCGATTTCGCCATTGTGCGAACATCATGCAATGCATTTACACTAGCCTAGACGGTAAAACCTACTACACACCTAGGCAACATGGTATAGCCTACTACACACCTAGGCTACATGGTATAGCCTACTACACACCTAGGCTACATGGTAAAACCTACTACACACCTAGGCTACATGGTAAAACCTACTACACACCTAGGCTACATGGTAAAACCTACTACACACCTAGGCTACATGGTAAAACCTACTACACACCTAGGCTACATGGTATAGCCTACTACACACCTAGGCTACATGGTATAGCCTACTACACACCTAGGCTACATGGTATAGCCTACTACACACCTAGGCTACATGGTATAGCCTACTACACACCTAGGCAACATGTATAGCCTACTACACACCCTAGGCAACATGGTATAGCCTACTACACACCTAGGCTACATGGTATAGCCTACTACACACCTAGGCTACATGGTATAGCCTACTACACACCTAGGCAACATGTATAGCCTACTACACACCTAGGCTACATGGTATAGCCTACTACACACTTAGACTACATGTATAGCCTACTACACACCTAGGCTACATGGTATAGCCTACTACACACCTAGGCTACATGGTATAGCCTACTACACACCTAGGCAACATGTTATATCCTACTACTACTACACTAGGCTACATGGTATAGCCTACTACACACCTAGGCTACATGTATAGCCTACTACACACCTAGGCTACATGGTATAGCCTACTACACACCTAGGCTACATGGTATAGCCTACTACACACCTAGGCAACATGGTATAGCCTACTACACACCTAGGCTACATGGTATAGCCTACTACACACCTAGGCTACATGTATAGCCTACTACACACCTAGGCTACATGGTATAGCCTACTACACACCTAGGCAACATGGTATAGCCTACTACACACCTAGGCAACATGGTATAGCCTACTACACACCTAGGCTACATGGTATAGCCTACTACACACCTAGGCAACATGGTATAGCCTACTACACACCTAGGCTATAAAGTACCCTCTGGAATAACAATAAAAGTACATTATAGTTAATACAAAAAGCAATAACGTAGTTGTTTACCGACACTATAAAGTATTACGTAATGTACATAATATACATAATTGTATGTGCTATACTTCATATGACTGGCAGCACAGAAAATTTGTTTACACCAACACCACCACAAACATGTGAATAACAAATTACGCTACAATGGCTACAGCATCACTAGGCAATAGGAATTCTTTAGCTCCATTATAATCTTATGGGACTACCACCCTATATCCATTTCATTGTTGACTGAAATGTTATGTGTGCATGACTGTACTTTACACAGGTAATGAACAAGCGATGGTTAATGTACTTTCTTCTTTGGGTCACTCTTGATTTGGTGGGAAATAATTAAATGGTAAAAGAATAACAACTGGTGGTACAAACCTTCTGTTTATCACCGGTGGAGCAGAGAAACTTGCCATCAGGTGACCAACAGAGACTCCTGACTGGTCCAGGATGCTCCCTCAGTGTCTTGAACATGTTACCATCATCAGACATGTCCCATACCTGTGCCAGGATGTACACTACTCTATCAATACATTCTCAAAATAATAGTCTTAACTACTAGAGGTTAATATGATAAAATATAATTAAAATTAATGTTGTTTGACACATACTAAGCACATATGCAAAGATTTTAATGTTAATTCAGGCAAACTTTTTAAGTTGGAACAATTTGGTCAATTTCCACGAATTGAAACTAAAACTAAAACTATTCTATAAAATGAATATTGATGTACTAGATTATTTTTAATTGACAGACTCTGTTGAGCAGAAATTCATATACAGTGCCCGCAAAAAATCTGTACGTGTCCAACACAAAATAATCTATACACGAGATTTTGGTGGATACATTTCACACGCATTTCCGCCGTAGGGAAAGTGTGATGACGTAGTGTACTGGAGCCCGTCTTGCTCCATTGTTTCCAACCAAGCCACGCTTCAGTGCTCTGCCAGAGCTCAGTGAGGAAGGAGGCCTACTTATTGTTCCTCAGTGCCCCTTGTTCCTGAACTTTGCCATGCTATATCTCCACTCAGAATGGTCAGAATGGGTCGAGCTAAACTTCAGTTTCAGAGAAGACCCACGCACTCACCCTATTAGAGCAAGGAATGTCTGTGATACGCGTAGCCGCAAACCTGAAGGTGACGAGGATGGCAATTTACAACCTCGAGAAAGCAGCTGCCTCACTCCCACCTGCTTTTACTTGAGGTCTGTGGCTGTTAAGGCCGGACCTGACAACACTTCCTTCTTCAGGATCTTGTCTGTGTGAAGAGAAATCTTTTTGGGTGGTACAGTGCCAGGTGGGGGTGAGGCAGCTGCTTTCTTGAGGTTGTAAATTGCCATCCTTATCACCTTCAGGTCTGCAGCTACGTGTATCATAGACATCTTTGCTCTAACAGGGTGAGTGCACAGGTCTTCTCTGCAACTGAAAGTTTAGTTCGACCAATTCTGACCACTTGGAGCAGAGATATAGTGTGGCAAAGTTCATGAAAAAGAAGCACTGAGGAGCAACTAGAAAGCCTCCTTCCTCACCGAGCTCTGGCAGAGCACTGAAGTGTGGCATGGTTGGGAACACTGGAGCAAGACGGGCTCAAGTACACTACGTCATCACACTTTTCATACAGCGGAAACATGAGTGAAATGTATGCATGAAAATCTCGTGCATAAATTTTTTTGTGTGTTGGACATGTATAGATTTTTTTGCAGGCACTGTACACAAACCCTAAAACATCGATTCTACTGTATGGACCACTGAGTATGGTACATCAATCTCTCAGTATACCTTTTATAATTATCAAATTTAAAACTACCTAAGAATAACACTATCAAAATCATCTTTGACTTCAAATGTGACTCTGAAAGGTAATAAGGGTGTATTTGACAAGCCCAGACATACACTACACAGCCAGGCAGGGTTTCAAAACAAGGGTTAGATGGCCAGGCGGTCGTCTGTCCCAGCCCGGGGCCACCTGTAGGGGGAACCAGCAGTCAGTGCAAGAACATCACCAAACATCAACCACTTTACACATCTCTCGAAAAATAACATCCAGTGTGTTATAACCTACATCAATTCTGATATTTACGATGATCAAGTATATAATTTAATGGCAAGCAAAAATGTAAATAATACTATATTTTTAACACATTAGCTGTCTACCACCAAGGCAAGGTGACCTAAAAAGAAAAATGAAAGTATTTTTTTTTTTACATTTAGTAATTTATACATGAAGAAGGGGTACTAGCCCCTTTTTCAATTTTCTTTCAACAAACCGGCCATATCCCACTGAGGCAGGGTGGCCCAAAAAGAAAAACGAAAGTTTCTTTTTTTAAATTTAATAATTTATACAGAACTACATGGGGAAGTGGAGCAAAATTCTTCCTCCGTAAGCCATGCATATTGTAAGAGGCGACTAAAATGCCAAGAGCGAGGGCTAGTGGCCCTTCTGTATAAATTACTAAATTTAGAAAGAGAAATTTTTCTTTTTCTTTTGGGCCACCCTGTCTTGGTGGGAAATGGCCGATTCGTTGAAAAAAAATTTTATACGAGAGAACGGGTTACTAGCCCCTTGCTCCCGGCATTTTAGTCGCCTCTTACAACATGCATGGCTTACGGAGGAAGAATTCTGTTCCACTTCTCCATGGAGATAAGTGGAAATAAACAAGAACAACATTTGTCTCCATTCCCTCCTATCTAACATACTCACACATGCTTGCTGGAAGTCCAAGCCCCTCGCATACAAAACCTCCTTTACCCCCCTCCTTCAACCTTTCCTGGGACAACCCCTACCCTGCGTTTCTTCTGCTACAGATATATATGCTCTTAAAGTCATTCTATTTCATTTCATCCTCTCTAAATGTTCAAACAACCTCAACAACCCATCCTCAGCCCTCTGGATAATAGTTTTGGTAATCCTGCACCTCCTACTAATTTCCAAACTATGGATTCTCTGCATTATATTCACACTACACATTGCCCTCAGACATGACATCTCCACTGCCTCCAGCCTTCTCCTTGTTGCAACATTCACCACCCATGTAAGAGCATTGGTATAACTATACTCTCATACATTCCCCTCTTTGCTTCCATGGATAAAGTTCTTTGTTTCCACAGACTCAGTGCACCATTCTTCTTTTTCCCCTTATCAATTCTATGATTCTACGAGGCCAAGCACTTACATATTTCAAGCATTACCTTACTAACAGACATCAATACATTTCTATTAAGGACACAATTTCATCAACAAGACTGCTGGATACTGGAGTGCCACAGGGAAGTGTCTTTGGTCCCCTGCTCTTCCTCTTATACATCAATGATCTTCCTAATTTATCACAACACCTTAACCCTTTCACTGTTAAGACCACTGATCACAAACTTGCTCTCAGTATCAAAAAACATTACCAAAGAAAAAAAAATTGTTATCAGTAGTTACCGAGATATAGAGGCATGAAATTGACAAAGTGTACCGCTGATGGCAACATCACCGACTGCCACTCACTCGGTAATATTATTTTTTACTTTTATTCTATTTTTCTTTACTTTTCCAATATTTTAGTTTTTCAAGTAACTCCTGTGGTCTGTGAGACCAATATAATGCATAATGTATATATATCCACTCACTGTATGCAACACAGTAACTGCACAAATATTATCATTATATTGTTTGCAAAATTTTTTTACACAAACCAACAATTAACCCTTAAACTGTCCAAATGTAATTCTACGATCACGTCCGTAGCATTCTGAACGCAGATCTATGTTTTTTACATAAGAAAGCATGTAAAATCGAGCACAGATCTACATTCGGAGTGCTACACACATGAACGTAGATCTACGTTTGGACAGTTTAAAGGTTAAAAAAAGTTGTTTAATATATACACATACTGAGTCACTGGACACGATCTTAGAGGTGCTGCAGCTTGTGGAACTCTTTAAAACAGTGTGTTATGCATAGCGCTGTTTTACACTCTTCACACACAAAATGAGTGTCTCTGCATTTTTGTGGGTGGGTTATTGTGGTTGTGCAAGTTGTTGTGGTGTGTGTGTGTGGTTGAAGGTGGCCTTTGTTGTGGATGTGCTGAGTCAGCGTCATGGCTACCAGCCTGGGGTGCCGCTGGTACTACATGAAGCATTATACCACAACCTGCTGCTGCATGTATATTATCCATCCCAATTGTAACACTACCCATGTCATCTTCCCCACCAACCATGCTGTCTTCTCAAAAAACCATGCTGTCTTCTCCACCACCCACATAGAAATAAGTCACTTTGACTTTTTTGGGTTATCCCAGGTTCTTTACACATATGATGCTCTGTATGATAATCTATGTAAAGTAAAAGGACACAAGTGCAACTAATGTGACATTTATTGTGGCAACGTTTCGCTCTCCAGGAGCTTTATCAAGCCATTAATGGCTTGATAAAGCTCCTGGAGAGCGAAACGTTGCCACAATAAATGTCACATTAGTTGCACTTGTGTTCTTTTACTTTACATATTGTCGGTAATTCTACCAACTTTATCATAATCTATGTAACTGTATTTGTGTATACCTGAATAAACTTGCTTATTCTTTGAGACATAGAAAAATATGAGTTTCCTCTTTCGCTGTGATACAACTGAACATGAACAAGATGGCCCAGCACCAGAGGTGGAAGGTTGATGGTTGTCTGGGTTTTTGGTGCTATTTCTGGTATCCTGGGCATTGCTTTCAGTCACAAACTCCTCAAAACCATGAAATTCATCTTCACTTACACTTCCATCTGTGTCACAACTATCATTTGGAAAGGGAAGAGTCCCACTTTGCCGAGGAGTGAAGTATACCTTACCGCTAGGCTTGGTGAACACTCCCACAATGCACTGCGACCTCCTCGATTTTTTTTATACTGTGCACACTGACCACGCAGACCCATTCATTCATATGTAGGTCTACCAGCTTTCTCCCGCTAGATTTGAAGCTGCTAGAATTTTGGCGTAATATACTATGGTAGCAGCACTGGCTTGCAAGCTGTAATATTATGGCACCAACAGTGAAAGGATTAAAATATTAATCAGAGGGCAGAGGAAGGGTGTTAATGTGGCTTGGACATTTAGAGATGACGGAGCAAAATAGGATGACTTGGAGAGTGTATAAATCTGTAGTGGAAGGAAGACCGGGTAGGGGCTGTCCTAGGAAAGGTTGGAGGGAGGGGTAAGGAGGTTTTATGTGCAAAGGGCTTGGACATTCAGCATATGTGTGTTAGATAGGAGCGAGTGGAGACAAATGGTTTTTACGACTTGATGTGGTATTGGAGTGTGACCAAAGTAACATTTATGAAGGGATTCAGGGAGATAAGTTAGCTGGACTTGAGTCCTGGAGGTGGAAGTACAGTGCCTGCACTCTGAATGGCAGAGTATTGATATGTTGCAGTTTTTGAGCTGTAATGTAGGCATGCCTCTAGCAAGACAGTGATGAGTGAATGATGATGTAAGTGTTTTTTCTTTTTTGGGTCACCTTGTCTTGGTGGGAG